GGGGAGTCAAGCAAAAGGCGAAGCGTCTTGGGGTGCCTATCTAACCCTACCAAACCATGTTCACATAACCTCTTGTGGTTCCCAGGAGATGTTCTTAGAGCAGTTATGGTTGATATGGTCTTGTTTTAACACATCACGTTTATGTTCTAAGAGCATGGTTTTGGTTATTAAAACACTGTCGGGCTCTAGGGAAATCTCGTGGTAGGACTATAGGGATGCTGGGACGGTCGGTTCCTGCTCAACTATCGGGGAAGCGTAAGTCGAAGGAGAGAAAACGCCATAAACATGACCTGCTGGCGCTCCGCGCGGATTTCTTGGATCTGCGCTGGACCCCCCTCCCCTGGCGCGCGAGGCGCGCCAGGGGCGGCGCTGGAGGCGCCGCCAGAGGCGCGGGCGAGCGCCGAAAGTTTATGTTTATTCAGGAGGGAAAGAAACACACAGACACAATTAATCGTCGACTCCCAGGAAAATATGCAAAAATATGGGAAGTGGTGGGGAAGACACAAACCCAGAAAATATGAGAAAATATTGGGATTTTTTTATTTGTGTGTATTTATTTGTGTGTTCCAGTTCCCCTTCATTTATGGCGTTCTTTCTTTCTAGGGGAGCATCGTTCGGGCCGGCTCTGTCGGGGAAACGTTAGCACTCGAGACGCTCGAGTACGCCGGGGCTCGGGGGTGCCGACATTTTTGACGAGCACGTTCTGGATTTTGACGGTCCAGTCTGCGTTGGATGTCTGCAGCGGGAGTTCGCGTCACGTTGCAGATTGGGCTTCGTCATGTTCATAGTGGCCCCGTCAGGCCAACCCGAGTCCCCCGAACCCGAGTCTCACGTCTCCCCGATTCTAGGCCCCCACCCCATCAGCCGACACCGGAAAAAGGTTGGCCGAAGATGCCCCCGAAGCTGTGGCGGAAGACGTCGTGTGAGACCGAGGTCGTGGCCGAAGTCGATAGTCGTATTGGTTTTCAACCAATCGGCGTCAGCCACGCTTGGGCACATTGGGGAAAACATGGGGCTGCAGTCTTCGGTCACACTCAGGCAGATTTTCGGGCATAGTTTCGGCCATTGCACCCTCCTGATACAGACGAGGCTACATGAGGATGGACAAAACGCCCACCCAGACAAGTCGACTGAGGAAATCTGCATGGGTTCATTCGACGTTGGCATTCGATTGGGCGTTTGCAGTCCCCAGCCGGTTTCACTAATCGCCGTGTGTTTTGCCGGGTTGCGTTCACTGGCTTTCGGACGTCGATTTGTTACCTTTCCCGTTCATCTCAGACAGGGTCCTGCTAGTCCACCCCGCCCAGGAATGCGCGGATGCGCTATCGGGGGCATCTCGCCGATCTATCGGCGCTGTGTCGCCGATTCCACCTCGATGCTTCTCGCCCTCAGCTAGCCCCCACCTAACGTTGCCTCTCAGCGGTGTGTGTGTGGGGGGGGTAGGAGGGGCGGGGCATGGGGGGATCCGACCTCGCGCGCAGGGGGGAACTGATCGAGGGGGCAGACTTTTCAGAAGGCGGCGGGGCTTCTCTGAAGTCCGCCAGCTTTCTGAGGAGCCCCATCTTGCTGCGAAGCTTCTCAGAAGGTCGCAGGTGCTCTGAGCCTTCCGATGAGGCCCGCCCACCTCTGCCTTCCCCCCAGGCGCTCCGCAAGGAGATGCCAAAAGGGGGGTGGGAATTGTGTTTTTGTGTGTGGATTTCATGGCCAGGGCAATGAAATTTCTGAGGTTCCACGGCGCCCTTTTCTCTCGTCTTCTTTTTTGTTTGTTCTTCCGATCCGTTGTTGCCCCAAACAGCGTTTGCACTACACTTTCCCGACATCCTGAGTGGGGTTCGTGTTTTCCTAGAACCTTCTCTTCTTCCCCCCTCCCTCTGCTGCTACGCCTTTTTTTACATGCTTACTACTATTACTACCACTATTACTACTACTACTACTACTACTACTACTACTACTGCTACTACTACTACTACTACTACTACTACTACTACTGCGACGACTACTACTATTATTACGACTACTACGGCTATTACGACTTTTACGACTACGACTACGACTACGACGACTTCTACTACTGCTACTACTACTTCTTATTACTATTACTACTACTACTACTACTACTACTACTACTACTGCTGCTGCTACTACTACTACTACTACTACTACTACTATCACTACTATTATTACTTCTACTGCTACTACTACTACTACTACTACTTCCCCGCTACTACTACTACTACTACTACTACTACTACTACTACGACTACGACTACGACTACGACTACTACTGCTACTACTACTACTACTACTACTACTACAACTACAACTACAACTACAACTACAGCAACGACTACTATTACTACCATTGCTACTACTACTGCTACTACTATTGCTATTACGACTACTTCGACGACGACGACTACTACTACTACTACTACTACGAGTACTCTTCTAATACGGCTGCGACGAGGGCTATTCCTACGACTACTACTACTACTGCCAATACTACTACTACTACCACCACTACTACTTCTGATACGACTACGACTACTGCTACTGCTGCTACTTCTGCTACGACTGCTAGTACTACTATTACTACTACGGCTACTACTACTACCGCTACTACTACAACTACTGCTACTGCTACTACGACTGCTCCTACACTACTACTACTACTACTACTATTACTACTACTACTATTACGATTACGACTACTACTACTAATGCTACTACTTTTACTTCTACTACGATTACTACTACTACTACTACTACTGATACTGCTACTACTACTGCTGCTGCTACTACTGATACTGCTACTACTACTACTACTACGACTACTCACAATCCTACAACTACTGTTGCTACTACTTCTGCTACTACTACTACTACTACTACTACTACTCTTACGACTACAGCTACTACTGCTGCTACTACTATTGCTATTACTGCGGCTACCACTATTATTACGAAACAACCACTACTGTTGCCACTGCTACTGTTACAGCTCCTTTTGCTACAACTACTACTTCTACAATTACGACTACTGCTACTGCTACAGCTACTACTACTACTGCGAAGAGCACTTCTACGATCACCTCGACTACTACCAATGTTACTTTGATTTTTATGTCTGACACTAATACTAGTACGGGTATCACCACCACTACTCTCACTGCTACCACTAGCGCTACTACTTTTACTGCTACAGCTACTGCTACTGCTACTGCGACTGCTACTGCTACGATTGCTATTTCAATTGGTACTACTGCTAGGCCTGCTTTCTTCTGATTACAATTGCTACTGCTGCTACTACTACTACTACTACTACTACTACGACGGCTACGACTACTACTGTTACGCCTACTACTACTACGACTACTTCTACTACTACTACTACTACTACGACTTCTACTACGACTACTACTACTACTACTACGACTACTACTACTACTACTACTACGACTTCCCCTGCTAGTGCTACTACTTCTACCACTACTTCCACTACTACTACTACTACTACGACTACTACTACTACTATTAGTACGACTACTACTATTACTGCTACTTCCAGTACTACTTCTACTACTACCACTACTGCTATTACTGCTGCTAGTACTGCAACTACTGCACGTACCAGTACGACCAATACATACACATTTCTACTGCTTTTATTACCACCACTGCTGCCAGTACTACTACTATTACGACTACCACTGCTACTGCTATTACTCTTGCGACTACTACTACTACGACTATTTCTACGACTACCACTATTGCAACTGCTGCTGCTGCTAATACTAGTACTGCTACTACATCTACTACGACTGATACTACGACCACTACTACTACTAGTACTAGTACTAGTGCTACTACTACTACTACTACTACTACTACTACTACTACTACTACGTCTATTGCTACTACTTCTAATGCTGCTACTACTACTACTAGTACTACTACTACTACTACTACTACTACTACTACGATTACTAATATTGTTGCTAGTATTACGACTACTACTACGACTATATCGATTACTACGAATACAACGACGACTACTACTGTTACTACTACTACGGCTACTACTACTACTACTACTGCTACTATTGCTACTACTGCTAGTACTCCTGCTACTGCTATTATTACTACTACCACTACTGCTACTCCAAGTAGTAATAAGAATAATCCGACTTTTGCTACCTCTACTGCTGTTACGATTCGTAGTGCGACTACTAGTACCATTGCTAGTAGTAGTAGTAGTAGTAGCAGTAGTAGTATAAATACTTGTGTCTCAATCAACTCCTCTTTGAATTACTTGTGTATGGTTTCCAGATCGGTCTTCGTTTTGAGTTCAAACCGTATAACATCAAAAGAGCCAGGCCTTACTCTCTAGAACTCTGATTTACCTCAGTTTTGATGCATTGTAAAGCCACGGTTAAGAGTGATTCCCATGCAACATGTAGTGGCGTAGTACGAGCAGTAGTACTACAAGTACTACTGCTAGTATTAGTACTAGTATACTAGTACTCGTACTGGTACTATTACTGGTACCAGGATACTACTATTGTTACCACTACTACTACGACTACTACTACGACTACTACTACTACTACCACTCCTACTACTACTACTACTACTACTACTACTACTACTACTACTACTACTACTACTACTACTACTACTACTACTACTGCTACTACTACTACTACTACTACTACTACTACTACTACTACTACTACTACTACTACTACTACTACTACTACTACTACTACTACTACTACTACTACTACTACTACTACTACTACTACCTACCTACCTACCTACCTACCTACCTACCTACCTACCTACCTACCTACCTACCTACCTACCTACCTACCTACTACCTACTACCTACTACCTACTACCTACTACCTACTACCTACTACCTACTACTACTACTACTACCTACTACTACTACTACTACTGCTACAGCTACTTCTACTAATACTATGACTGCTATTACT